CTACAGGTTACCTATCAATCATTTACAGCCTCCAAGTGGCCATGCAGTTCCATGTATTCTGTGCTCTTAGGATTTATACCTCTTTCCCCTCATCTCACCAATCATCTGTTTGCTTGTGGGATGAGGGAGGTGTGGGCACATCTGACCACTTCACTCTCTACTGGAACCCCTTCAGCTCTTATGCAACATCTGACCACAGGATGCAATCCATGCTCTTTAGCCTGGCACGTGAAGCTTTTCATGATGGGTCCCTACACTCATACCTCCTGATACATTCTCCTACCTCACCCAGATGCTGGTAGGAATGTTTTACTGCAGTGCTCGCTCAATCAGCACTCATCATGTTAATATTAGGGTGGGTTTGTTTCTTTTGCATAAAACTCCCTCATTTCCTTATCCACTCATCACTCTTTGAAATTCACCATAGATATACCATCCTCATGTTCTAGGCAGACACACTGCCTATATTAATTATGTTTTCCAAAGTGCCTTATTGAAACACTAAAGTGCAGTAATGAGATGGCAAACTCCAAGAGGGTAGGCCCCATCTCTTTTGTTCATCATTGGATCCCAGTGCCTAGCAGTCTCTGGCAATAGGATCTCAGTAAGTGCTTTACAGCATCTAGGGATGATAAAAAATAAACAGACATTAATAATCAGCATTGGACAAACACTGACCAATCAGAAAGCATGCCACCCCAACATGGATAGATGGGTGGATAGATGGGTGGACAGGCTAAACTATTAGGTATGTCTATGCAGAGGGGAGTGTGCCCAAGACCATGTATAGGGTTGGCAGATAATGTTTCTACAAGTGTATTGGTATGTTCTGTAAGAACTCCCAGGTATATAGTAGAGCTGACAAGGAACAAGGTCATAGTCACTTCTTAGGAACAGCCAGCTACCCAGAGGGAGTGAGTAATTGGACCTGTGGGTTCAGGACCATAGTCACAGGGGATATTAAGCTCAATTGGCATAACATACTACACAAAATATTGTTCCACATCCTACTTTGGCAAGTAGCAACTGGGATCTTAAAAGCTTGCAAGCAGCCATCTAAATGCAACGATGGGTCTCTCCTCAACCAGAGCAAAGAACAATGAAGAAAACCAAAGATTCATGGAAACAATTAGTCCAAGCGACTGGTACACTATGCTATCCTCAGCCTATACAACTATGAGACCAGAAGAAATAGATGGTGCCCAGCTACCACTGTCAACCACTCGGAGGGGGATCCTGGATAGAGAGGGAGAACAATGTGGAATAAAACTCAAAATCATTTGGAAAAACAAAAGGGGGGGGGGACCAGGTTTGCTGCTGATAGAGCCTGATGGACCCAAGACTATGGTCCCTAGCTGCCCTTTAGGTCTGGAACTGAACCCACTCCTGCAGTTTCCAGCCAAACAAAAGACAAGCATATGAGGTGAACATTTTCACTTGGTAGATATACTCGCTGGAGAGAACAATAATGGGAGAATAGAAGG